GCAAAAAGGTGGGAAGGGGGTGGGTAAACAGGGAGCCGGTGCTACCACGGCATAAAAGCTGTAGGCGGAGCTATTTTTTCAGTTGTTTTTGCAAGGAATTAGTGTAAGGAGTGTGAGATATTACAGCTATGGGGAAATTACTCTATATTACCCATGTGATAGAAAATAGACCAGTAAGGATTGGCGCAGGGATCAACAAGCAAAAAAGAAAGATCGAGATGAAGGCCTGAGCCAGTTAGTGAAAGCAAAATCTAGACCTCCGGATAAGCAGAGGTCAAAATTGCTTTAATACGGAAAAGGTCAATTAATAATAAAGATAAATAAAAAAATAGTAGGGATAATAAATAAGTCTGTGCATCTTCCGCAGCAAGAGAGCAAGGCGAGGCAGGGACAAAAGGAGTAAAAATTGTTGTACAAGGAATACGGACCAAATTTCCTTTTTCCTTTATCTGCCTGCTAACGGTCATAATAAGACAACGCATGTAAATCAGGACAAATAAGGAGTACTGACGCTGCTGAAAAGGAGCAGAGATAAAAGTACTCTTTATTCGCTGACATACACTCCAAGCAGATAGTGGACAGAAGAAGGAAAATAACTTCCACCATGTTTTCTTTACTTTGTTACACGTTTGTAAGTGGCATAGAGCATAGTAGGTAGTAATTGGTTAAAAACTCATGTAATTATTTGCTTAATGAAGAAACTAAAAGAGGTTCCAGAAAAAACCAATATCAAGGCCGAGTTAGAAGTGTTTGGAAACTTTATAAACCTACCAGGCATTGGGATTTCCACCGGGCATTAGGCTGGGACCATAACGGGCGCCTTCTTCTCCGCCACTGACTCCAGAGCCGACGTATAGTAAGCCTTTATCCCCTAAGTACTTGCACCGGCGCTCTGTGTCAGCAAACTCGGAGTTGCCTCCATCGATGATGGTATCTCCTTGCTCCAATAAGGGCAGCTATTTTCAAACCAATAATTAAAAACAAATTAATACCCAGAAGTGACTAGCAGAAAGAGACTGTGAATGCGAAATTCTTTACTAGTAAAAAGATAGAAACGGGCGTTTTGAAAGGATAATATTGGCGGAAATAGCATTCAAATGAAAAGCATGAGCTGAATCCCAAATAATACTGACTCCGAGGCCGACCAAACTAATATTCTCAGAAGTCAATGACATACTACACCACCAACCTACACTAGTGTCGATCGGAATATGGTAATTTGACTTCTGAAATGTTTGAACGGTTGAATTTCTCTAAAGATGCACCCGCATATTCAAGAATTAGACAGGAGTTATAGTTTAAGCGGTTTTCGTTCGGAACCTAAAATATTTTAGGGAAATGTACTTCTCATCTAACATTATATCCTAATGAAATACGATACTTTTTCATGATATCTTAATAAGGGTTAACTCTTTTTATATAGGAATCGTCCGAATGGAAGAAAAACCAAACAACATAAGTTTGTAGACCAGGCAAGGTGAAACTGCAAATGACTGCCATAATTAACAGAACTTACCAAAATTTCGATGAAATCGTCGACGGGCTTTCCAGCCTTTACGAGAAGCATAACGGCACGCGGTTTTGCCAAACAGGAAACAAAATCAGCGGCAGTTTTTGCACCGCACAAATTTTTTCGATCCTTTTCTTTTGCCAAGAAGTCGTCAACTTTAGAGGTTGTCCGATTAAAAACACACACCTTAGGGAATCATAAACAAAAAATACGACCTACCTTGAAGCCGTGGTCCAGCATGTTTAAAACGAGGTTTTGGCCCATTACGGCCAAACCTATCAATCCAATATCACAATTTCTAAAAATTGGATGAACGAGGCAAGGAAATTAGTTGATTACGCCAGTGAAGTAAAAGGATTCAACACAAACATTTAAAGATAACAGCACAAATAAGGAACTTCCGAAATCGAATTTAATGAAAATCATCAAGCAATCAGAGAATTCTTAGTGATCATTTAAGTGGTTGAGTTAAGTATAATGCACTTTACTTCAATTCATTAAGGAGCTCCGAAAGGTTGTCCAAATTCAACAAACTAGTATGGCCATGAAAGGGATTAACCGTACTGATTATGAGAAAGGTAGGTGATTGATGCTTATGTCTTACCTAGGGCTGACGACTAGAAAACTAGTTAAATGGCAGGGTCTAGCAGAAATCTGAGAAGCTTATACCTTATTATTACTTATTGCAAAATATGAGTGTTGCAATCAAAGGGAAGTAATCTCAACCGCTTTGCGTTCACGCTATACGTGCGGATTTGCGGCCATGGGTGGGCATTTATTCATTCCTGGCAGACCTCAATGGCCGCAGAATTTAATCGAACGAAACGATGGTTACCTTTAACGTGACATCATTAACCACATACATTCTACCGAGTTTGGCACAAAACGCCTTGAGCAAGAAACTCGAGGAGCTATAGAGCAAAACCCAGAGTTCACCCAAAATTGAACACCTTGAGGTTGTTAGAATTTCACCCAAAGACCTATCTCACCTTTGCAGGCATAACTTATGAGCAGATCAAGGGAATTCCGATGGGTTATCCAACGTTCGCTTTCGTAGCAGAATAAGTCCTACAAGGGCTGGAAAAGATAGTCTTCATCCAACAGCCTCAGCCGTTTGAAGCCGTTACTTTAAAGACACGTTTTTTTTTATCATCAAAAAGAACAGGCTGTAGAATTTCCATGATCACCTAAAATCGATCTCCTCCCGATAAACAATTTACGAGGGAAAAAGAAAAGGAGCGGCATTTGTCCTTCTTCGATGTACTCGCCATGCGAACTCCCAACGGCGAAATATAAACGACTGTCTACAGGCACGCGATGAACACCACACGGCTCCTCGATTTTCGCAGAAACCATTCCGTGGCTCAAGAACGAAGCAGCACGACAACACTGTTCAAAATAATCCAGACACAATGCAGACACCCGGAGGAAATAGCACGTGGAACGACCAGTTTTCGTGGGGGAAGGTTATCGGAAGGCCTTCATAAACTGATGCCTACGTGTTCGTCCCCGAGGACTCAATTCGAACCTACCTACCTATACAATATGGCATTTGCTGTCATACACCCAAGATGTGTCAGACGCGACAGAGTGCATTGCTGTAGAACTAGGCGTCGGAATCATACACCGGCCCAAGGCTACCACGCACAGCAGTCATGAAAATCAAGGAACGATTAAATCCTGGTGAGAGGGTTGGTGTATTGTATCGCATAGGTTGCGCAAATTGTCTTTTAAATTACATAGGGCAGACTGGAGGCATAAGTGGCTAGAGCATACACGAACATAAGCTGGTATAG